TCCATTTTGTTTGTGCCAGACGCATTGTCGGAGCGAACGCTTTACTTTCCTTAGCTCTCGCCTCAGACGTTTTTAATGGGGCTCGCGGACGCAGCCTCCTTTTTTATTCTCTGCCTTCCAACAGCCATCATCCAGATGTGCCTCCATTTGGGAGAAGAGGAACTTGTACGTGTCATAACCAGAATGAGCTGTCGCATAAAGAGCCTCATTGATGCAGGTTGCATAATCGTAAAGGATGCGCACAGGAAAAATGGTGGTCAGGATGTTTTCCTGTACTATCTCTTCAAAGCTCGCCTGTACAGTCTCGCCTGCCACATGTTAGTGTGGGCGTTCGAGCTCTGAGGTTCCTGCCCACAGTCTGTTGATCATTCGCTTCAGACAGGACGGATGAGTTTGTAGGGCCTGGTGGGGCAGCTCATAATTAATTAGTCCCGACACCAACAAACACCCAGCGTGAGTGGAACTTTAAAGCCAATTGCGGCGATTACGGGGGGCTAATAGTATTAGAAGCTGAATGAAGTGTGGAGCGGGGGCTGGAGGTGGCGAACAATGAGGGCTCGTTTGCGTTTGACCCTCCCTTCAAATCAATCAAATGGATGATTAAAAGCATTAGACTCGGAGAGCAGGATTTCTCCAAACTGAAACAGCCGATAATTGTTTTGTTCGTCAAATAAATCACGGCTTGTAACGTGATTAATAGTGGTAGTGTGTAACCTTCTGATTGCAGCAGAGTACAAAAGAACGATAATGTTAGTTAATGCATTTTATGTAAATAAGCTGCCTTTGCTGACTCAGTATTGTGTCATACAGCTATGATCGGTTGGAGGCCAAATTACAATAAAAATACCAGCTTTTTAAAATGTTTGCCACCCATTACGCTTTTTCTAGTTATAATAAAACAAACCAAGGATTCTATAAACTGCAAAGGCATGTATTCTGGCCTACCGCAAAGTGCTCTGCATTAATAACTAATATGACTTTTGTTAGTCCCTGATAATGGCCTGACAGCTGGCATATGTCACAGCTGTCAGATCATCTTCAATAGAAAGCTTGAGAAACCTTCCAAGTTCCTGTACTTCGGGTTAATCAAGTACATTTTGGCACCCATATGGAGGCATTAAAGGAAAGCCCTTCTTCAAATACACTGAAAAAAAGTTGAGACTTAATAATAGTGCCTGTAAAAGTTAACATATGAATGGAATATGGAATTTCATCTTTTTATGTATTATATTTGTACATTTAATTTATCATAGAAGACTTTCATTAGAGTTCTGTGGCTCTAATGGTTTTGTGCACTACATAAATTGTGTTCAGTGAAAAGGACGACAGCATAAAACAGTAGATATGACATGTATAAACATGTAAACATTATATGTTAACATATAAACATTAACATGTATAAATTGTAATGCATCCGTATTGGTGTGAATTAAATTGGACATTTATCTGTGAGATATATTGAACATGTATATATGTTGTCTTGAAATTGTATTTGAGTCTGTGAAGGCAGAATTGATAAGATATGATAAAATGATTAATAATACAGTGGACCCACTGTGTCACTAGACATCACAGTTAGGATGTAGCTTCATTACTGCATTAATATTCTCCATTTAAACTGGTTGGCATTTTGTCTGGGTCCTGAAATGGATTAAAACTGCCTCGGGTAACTAGAGCTAGCATTTCTAGATCAGGTGAATGACACCCTATCCTGGCATGTGTTGTCTTCGTTTCAGCATCATATTACTGAAGGCCATGGGGCCGCTGCAGTGTAAGGGCTATTGAACAAGTCAGCACTGGCTTTCACCACAGCACTCTCTCAAACTGTTACCAGACACTGCCTTACAAACGCTGTAATTCGACCAATTAGCCCTGTGGCTTCAAGGAACGCTGCTGCGCGGCCTGAAAACAAAGCCGACCCACAGCCGTGGACATCAGAGCATAGGAAAGCCTCGCTTTTGATGCTGCAGACATCACAGTGTCAAATGACGGTCTCTTTGCCGTGCTGAGTGGGTTAGCATGAGCATCTCATCTATACTGTCTCTGTGGGTATTGGGAAAAAGTCAGAATTCGGTCTGGATGCCAAGTTCTGCTAATGTGACTTCTAGACTGCTCATCTGTCAGTCTAAAAGTCAAAAAAAGAGAGCACTTGCTCATGGATGGGCAGGATTTAGGGGGAAGGCAGAGCAATTTTGGCACTGCCATCAGTTCAGGCAGGGCTGCAGTGATTGGCTTGGTTGCGTTTCTGGCTATTTCGGGTGGCTCTGACTCATGGTATCCCTTGGTAACCAAACACACAAGAGGCCAATGAGGCTTTGGCTGGCCTCTTACCATGGTGGTGGAGGGTGGGGGGGGGATGGGGGCTGAAGAGAACAACACAAACTGACAAGAAATGGAGGTTGGGAGGGGGGGACAGAGGGAGCAGCAGCAGTAGCATGCCAAACCCGGGCTTATTATCATGCGAGCGACCGTAATCTCTGCCTCCTTCTCCCTGTCTGTTTATCTGCTCTGCGTCTGACTCGTCTCCCAGAGTTCTGGGCTTTTGAGAGGAGCGGCGGGCCGCCAGAATTTTCAAGCCCGTCGAGCCAAACTGCCCAACGGCCCTGCCAGAACTGCCATTCTGTTTGCAGCAGATAGGAAGTTCTCATTAGAGGACACATAAGTCATTTATGACGGCCATGGTTTCTTACTACCTTGCCGGTGAGACACTGGGTGTCAACATTCTGACACAAGGCTGAGGCTGTGATTGAGCCGGCCTATCACAATCCCCAAAAACGCTGCAGTATTGCAGCAGACAATGGAAAATAAGATATGTGACTGTTTTTGAAAAGCTAATTTTCCAGGGCGATAGTGTTCTTTTTTTTCAGATTATTAATTTCCCATCAGATGCTTTTCCTTTTCAGCAGGCACTCTATCTGTATGTCATATCAGTATCGGATTATGAATTAAAAGGATATTGTCAGTAAGAGGAAAGGAATAGCATGGGCGGATAATAAGGATGACTGCGACTGGCTTTGAGAAATCTGTTGTTCTTCCTCTCCTGTCACTCTCTTCACACTGATACAGTTTTAATGGAGTTTGAATAATAGGCCTGACATCTTCAATGCGGAGGTTATGCAATCCCTGTGATATTGCTGCGGAGACGAGGGGCGGGAGGAATATAATGCCATTTAGGCAAATTAAAGGGCGGCCAAGAGACTTGGCATGCTGCAGCCGAGACTGTATCCTGTGGGCCAGGGAGACCACAAATTCCTCCCAGGATTACAGGATTAAGAATTTGAAAGGTGATGCAGTTTCTCACAGATGGAGGAAATAAAAAGGACAAGGCTGGCAGAGAGGTGAACTGCCATTAATGCATGCTCCCCTTTAATTAAAAGCTACTGATTGAATGATATTGGAGAGGATTAGGCTGACGGATGATTTCTGAAAAAAACACGCACACACAACTCATCCTTGGACACCTTCCCATAGCATGCTGGGATATTTTATAATAACCAAGTGTGATTGCCCAGGCTGCATAGGGTAGATAAAAGTCTTGCCTGTGCTCTCTTGAGGGGGGAGGATGATGAGTTGCTGTGTGCTGATTACAAATGGGAGGAAGGGCAGAGAAAGTAGTTGCAGATAGTGCGAGAGGTTGACTACTCAGGAAATACGGTTTTCCGTAGGTTTTCAGATGGGCTGCCAAGTTGCCTGTGGTAATTTGACCTGTCAAAGGCAGTTGCTGTGGTAATTTCTTAAAAATCAGTATAAAAAAGCCTGCAGGCCATAACCATTACTTATAAGCCTTAGCAGTTATTTTTTCTGCCAGTGGCTGCACCCTAAACTCTGTGTGTACTCCACGAACACTAAAAGACACAGTTGTGTTTGAGTATCCTTTCCCTCTTGTTTACATTGTTCAGCCCACTTTCTCTTTGTTATTAGGAGACAGTGCTTTCACCGCTCCAGGTTGTCATCTCTGAATAGCACTTACACACACAGACATTTCACTCCCGCGAATGTCTCTCGACACATTAATTTGGCTTAAGTCAGAATTCTTTTCATTTACTGCGCAGGGGCTCAAACAAACGAGACTCCAGGATACTAAATGATCCTCCCGTGCTGTAATCTGAGTCACGCTGCAAGTGACGGCGCCAAAGATTTCAACCCGCGATGTGTACCTTCACTTTATAAAAGACCCTTTGTGGCATTGTTTGTAGCTGGAGAATGCCAAAGAGACTTTCGTCTGGACGTGTTTATTTTGCAACTGCTATAATTTTAAGCCTTCGTGATTAAACTCCCAACATGTAGGATCCTTGCGAGAAGTGTTCCTCACAAGTGACACTTTTAATTGTTGTGCAGAAAACATGCCGTTTGTTTGGCAGTGTTTTGAAAGGATGCTGCGAGACTGTTGAAAACAGTGTGACTCCAGATGTAAGCTAATCTGTAACCACAGTACAGACTGCCTCGGTCTCAGCTGCAGCACAGTAAAATGGAAGTTGACCTGTTGAAAAACAAAACTGTGGTTAAACTTCATCACCGCCTGTAGCTGTTGGCTTTGAAAACAGGATGGCTTTACAGAACATATCCTCGTATCAAGATGCTGATCTTGCAATACCTTATTTCTAACAGACCAAACCGCAAAGTCTCAAAAGCTTGCACAATGGTGCACAGGATTTATATGCTTTTCTTTAGGTGTGTCCCACTAACTGAGAACTTGGCAGTAATGCAATAGCTGTTATCAAGAACAACAAAAAAGTTTTTTGGTGTTGATTTTGGCAGTGGAATGTGAATATGTCTGCATAAGAATGCTAAAAAACAAGTGTTGTAAAGTCTTGCTCTTAATGTATTTAGGGCTCTTTCCTTTTGTCAGTGTACATTGAGAAATGAATTTTGTGTTATTCAGTAACATACAGATACTCGCTTGTTGTCAGAATTATCCTGTCTGACATCAGCATCAGATATGAAAAGGGCTTTGAAAGATGGGTGTTGTATACTGAATAGTTTTTTCTTTTGTTTTTCAGACCTATGAGAGGCCTTACAGACTAATGGCTCAAAATGACAACATGACGGAGAAGGAAAGCACGAGACCAAAGCATGAGCCTAAAAACAATGACATTCACCAACTGGATTGGACAAAGCCAATATTAAGAGAGTCGGCGTCCCAAGGGGACCAAGGAAGAGATTCGGAATCAAAACAAGAATCAACATGCATTAACAAGAGCCTTCTGTCTGAGGTCAACACTCCCTTCTCAAAGACGCAGGTTAAAAAGGTCACAGAGGGTTCATCTGGAAGTACGTTTGCCTCGGGAATGACTTGCCCAGGTTCTGACTCACAGGCTTCTTCACCAGCTGATACAACAATGAGTCCACCAACAGACTCAAATCCATTGATGTACTCCTCTTTCAGCAAAGAGAGAGGTTTGCAGGAGGTCAATGAGCAAGTCTTCGGGAACATCAAACGGAAGTACGGCAGGAGGGATACTATGAGGGCTCTGACCACCCATAATGCAGATATGCTGTGGGCCAAAACGACTGACAAGGAAAGTGAGAAGCCAGTTCAAGACAATACTAAGAATAAACTACTGTATAACACTGATAAAATTGAGACTCAGAAAGAAGAGGCAGAAAAATCAATGAAAAGGGCAGAGGATGAGGCCAAAACAATGCCAAGCTGTGTTCCACATCACACAGATGAACCTAAGTGCAGAAAGAAGAAAAACAGAAGATTAACTGAGGATAACATCTCTTTAGAGGACACACAAGCAACACAGACAGTAGAAATGAAAGATAAGAATGACCAAGGTACTACAAAACCTAAAGTGGCAAACAAAATGGAAATAAGTACAACAAAGCAATTTGGAATGGATTCACGGAAGCCGGGGGAGGAGAGTGCAGAAGCAGTGACGAGTGTGGAGATGTCTGAGAATAGGCACAGGAAGAACCTAGTCGGGAGACCAAGATCAATGAGTGATCCAGAGAAGGAGGCAGAAGGGAGGCAATCAAAGGTCAAGGACAGATGGTGTTATTTAAAATCCAAGAGCTCTGCTCCCCATAAAGACATTAATCCAGTGATGCCCATTGAAGAGCCACCCTCTGCTTTCCCTATTACGCCATCTAGCCCACTGTACACCAACACAAACAGTCTGACAGTCATCACTCCCGTAAAGAAGAAAAGGGGAAGGCCCAAAAAACAACCTCTGCTTACTGTCGAAACAATTCATGAGGGAACCGCAACCAGTCCTGTTAGTCCTATCGCCCAAGACTCATCAAGCACTTCAAAGAGGAGGAGGAAGAAGCATAATTTATCAAAACTTGTGCAATTGGCCTTAAATAAATCCCCTACTGCACAACAATTGAAGCTCAAGAAAACGGGTCAGGTCGGCGTCCTTAAAAAGAGAACGGCTAAGAAAGTAAAACTGGTTAAAATGCAAAGCATTTTGAATGAACTTTTGTCCTCTTCTAACAGTGGTAATCTGGCTCTGAAGTCCAACGTTCCAGGTTCCAGTGCCATGTCAACTGTGGCATCGACAATCGAGGCCCGTCTAGGCAAGCAAATCAATGTCAGCAAGCGCGGGACTATTTATATTGGCAAAAAACGAGGAAGGAAGCCCAGAGCTGATCTGCAGGCCCAGCAAGATGAGCACAAAGCCAGTGATGAGCACTCGTTGCCTGTTTCAAGTCCATTTGAGAACCTTCTAGTGCCTTCTACTCCATCACCCACAACCAGAATGCCTTCTCCTAGGGTCATGCAGTCTCTCTCTGCTCAATCCTTAGCAGGTGGGGTGGCACACCATGTCACCACGGAAACCAGCCAGCAGGACCTGAAGACCATGCCAAATCTACAGCCTATCAGTGCATTGCCCACAAAAACTCAGAAGGGCTTGCTCAGCAGTAATTGGAAGCTCTCTCCTCCAAGACTTATGGCCAACTCGCCGTCTCATCTGTCAGAGGTGGCCTCCATCAAAGAGGTCACCCTGTCTCCCGTCAGCGAGTCCCACAGTGAAGAGACAATCCCAAGTGATAGTGGCATTGGCACTGACAACAACAGCACATCAGACCAGGCTGAAAAAGGTCCAGCATCTCGCAGGAGGTACTCCTTTGATCTTTGCAGTTTCGAGGCTGCAGAGGCTGCCATGCTAGAAGCCTCAAGTAAGACAGCTAGAGGGCACTATCAGAAGCATGCTACCACGGTTGCAATGGAGAATTTCCTGACTCAAGAGAGCCTTAAGAAGCAGAAACATCGACGGAAGCGGAAGAGCCTCCCAAGTCGGGATGACCTTCAGTTCCTGGCTGACCTCGAGGAGCTCATTAGTAAGTTCCAGGTCTTCCGAATCTCCCACCGCAGCTACAAGTTTTACCACGAGAACTCTTACCCAAGCATTTTCCGTCTCAACTTTGACCATTACTACCCTATGCCCTACTACCCCTACGATCCTGTACACTATCTTCGGAGGAGTTCCGAAAAATCAAAGAGGAGGCGCGGCAGGCCAGCCAAATCAAATGAACCAATAACAAAGATGCCTTTCATTCAAGGGTTTGGGTATCCAGTGCCCGGTGGCAATTACTATGCACCCTACGCAATGCCTTACACATCCATGCCTCTTGCCACAAGTGTGATGAACATGGGCTACTACGGGCAGTATCCACCTCCTTTGTACCTGTCACATGCGCTTGGATCTTCAGGCTCTCATCTAATGCGTCCGCCGGTTCCGCCGCCAAAGTTCCACTCTGGTGGGCTGTCTAGCCTCTCTGCTGCCAGCAGACATCGGACGAAGAGCATTCCCCATGAAATGCCTTCTCCCAGGATGGGCGACACTCATCACTCATCAAGCAGCTGCTTGGCGAGCGTCTGCCTCCACAAACGCAAACACAAGCATAAGCACAAACATAAGGAGGACCAGCATGCTGTCCCGCAGAGGGAAGATCTTGGTGGACTCTTCAGTGGAGCGCTGCCTCTGTCTAAACTGAAGGACAAACAGAGAAGCCAGCAAAGCGCAGATGCATCATGCAAGACCTCCAGGAACTACTTTGAAGTAGACACACTCTCATCATTGTCCTTATCTGACTCACAGCACTGTAAACGTGCTCGAGGAGAGCCTCTGAACAACTTCCTGAACATCTGCACTACACAATCACACGAACGGCTGCGAGCCAGCCAGGACCGGCCACTGGACTCGTTCAAGGGGCAGCACTTAGGAGAGGAGGGTCCCAGCATCCGCAGTACGAGGCATAGCTTGGAGGAGTTTGCAACTTTCAGTGAGGGAAGCATGGCACCTTTCCAGAGTGACAGAGCGGAGAGGACAAAACAGATGTACCAGCGCAGCAACAGCACAGCTATAGCAGGTCAGAAAATCTCAGTATTTCTATCAGGCATGAACGTAAGCCACATTTAAACAAAATATGCAAAGTGCAGAATAGTTTGGTAAACAATGAAGGCACAATTTAATCGTAGCTGGAAAGCTGCGTGGTAAGTCTCACAAAACAGCATTCTGCGCTATTCTACAAAATGATAAACAAATAGGCTCATTTGAGCGCTTTTATTTTGTAGTCAGAACATCTGGCGAGGCGGGTGTAATGCATGGATGGAGACAACTATAATTCACAAATTTCTCTTTCCTCCCTTTTCACCTCCGTTGCTTGCCAATGGTTTTCTTAGAGATATATTATTCACACATTTTGATTTATTTTCTACTGACATGCAATAAAAAAAAAACTCTCCCTGTGTTAAAAGAGCTGGCCAGCAGCCAGCAGTTTAATGAATCCAGTCTACTCCAGTGGAGGGGAATTGCAAGCCCAAGGCTCAGTTAGATTACATTTTTGCTCCTTGGGGAAAAGAAGAGGATGAGTCACATACTGCCTAACCCGTACTACCATCTACCTCTATGAATTAATGCTATGCTTCAAAGACCTTGGTTGTCACAGTTAAATAGATCAGCTTGATACGTATCATGCAAACGTGTACATGTGGTTTGCTTTCAAAACGTTTTATAGTGAAAGTATGTTTTGACAGAAGAACTTATTATAGCAGCTTATTATACCTTTTGGCCAATGTCACTATCTGGCTTAAAATGTGTCACAGCAAGTAAAGTCTGGCAGTAATTTATATGCACAAATTTGCATCTCATGTCACCAGTCATTTACAATTAATTAGATCTATTTGCCCCAGCTTCATATTACTGCACATTTCTTAGGAAGCCTGTTAATGATTTTTCCTAGTGCCTAGTGTTTAAATCTAAATTAAGTGTTAGTGAATGTAGCAGTGGAGTCCCATAGCACGGAGGTTTCTAGAGTATCTTCAGGCTAATGCTCATGTTTATTAGACATGCTGCACAGAAGACACTGACAAACATATTTATTACTGGAATTCTTTGTCATTGTTGAGCAAAACGGCAGCTGAAATCTCATATTACCACTCATGACTGTGTCTAATTTTAATACTGTAATTATTTACTTAAAGGCTGCCTACATAGGGACTTCTGAACGCACGTATAAGCACTGAATAACATATTTATAAGGCAATACTTTGTTGTTGTTGCAAAACGCATTATATAGGCCACTTTCAAGAATATTTCATGATGTATGTTGTTGGAAGTGGTTCTTCACACATACAAGAAGTATCAGTGCTATGTTATGATATCAATGCTATATTAATATCACCTTTATTAAAGAAACAAAAATGTGTTTTTCATTATATGTCAGCTGTTGTTCTACTCAAAAATGTGTTATATCCAAAATCGTTACAAATGGATATACAGCATTTCGGAATGAAATTCGTTATTTATAAAAAACTAATGCCAGTAATCGCAAGATGACATAAGAGGTTTTATGAAATAAGTGACACTGTATTGACATATAAGGGCCTTAAAATGAAGTGAAATCAGTTTGTTCAATTTACTGACACTGTTATGAAGCACTTACTTATAAGGTAGAGGCCACATAGGTCTTCTTCATAGAAGTTCATCACAAAATGTAACATAATACATATAATAGCTTAAATGACTTTTGCTTTTAATACTTAAGTACATTTTAAAGCTAGTAATGTTGTTTTATGTACAAGTAGAAATACAGACAAGGCACTTGTACTTAACCAAGGGTATTTCTACTTTTACTTAAGTACAGGGTTTTTGTAAAGGAACGTGTATTTTCAGACATAACTATGGATGAAAATAATGACTTGAGGGCATCAGAATCTTCCACAGAACTGGTATTACTTATACTTATAAGTTCTGTTACTTGGGAATAATGCTTCATAACAGTGTTATAAATGGAACTATAGTTTAAGGCTCTTTGTGTCAAGACAGTGTCATTTACTTTGTAAAACATCTTGTGTCATCTTGATATTACTGTTATTAGATGTATAAAAATATCCAAGTATCACTTCATAAATATGTAATTCAGTGCTTATGAAGTCCTTATGTAGGTAGCCATCAAATAAAGCATTCCCATTAATGGCTAGATTTTTTGGCAAAGGAAAGACAGTAGATGTAGAAGTCTAAGCATTTCCACAAGAAATATGACCCTTTGGCAAGCTCTTTAAAGTGGCCTTGCAGTGCATCACTGTGCACATATGGTCTGGATTGAGCTTTTGATGGGGCACTCAATGTAAGGATCTTTCAGTACACTAAACCCTCTTTAGCTAGAGCCTGCATGCTCTTTTAACTTTATGCTCCCTGATTTCCTTGGACAGGAATTAGGCCTGTGTTCAGCAGGCTTTGTGCAATACATTTTTATAGCAAGCATATTGTCTATGCCTGTTTTTTTTTTCCTTACATTTCTCAAAAATCCTAGTCATTTCTCGCCAGATGTTGATAACATTCCAATTCAGTCTACACAAAAAAACAACAACTAATCACTGTTGCTGCCTAATGTTCAGCTTTCTTCTGGAAAAAAAATACTTCTCCAGATAAAATGCACTTTCTACCTTACACTTGCTTTGTCCTCCTTTTATGCAACAAATCTGAAAACTGTTTGCCTTTAAACAGTGGAATTTTGTCACCATGGTAATGGGAAGTGGGTCTACGCCAGCATGCGGAGAGCAGAGCTGGGGGGACAGCAGCAGGGCGAGGCCATAAATTGGTTGCTCTAATGAAAACAGTGTGTGCAGGATGCAGGTAGAGGTTTCAGGGGATAAATGAGTTGTGACGCTCCCTTTGAAAACTAATGTTTTTTTTTTTTCTTTCCATGATTTGTTGGCACTCTGAGAGACTCGCTGAGGTTCTCAGTGATAAACCAGGGCCAGAGCGGGAGGGGCTTGCCGCTTCGACTGGCCTGCATATTACTTTATTGAAACCAAATGAGCAGCTGCTGCAAACTTGCTTAGCGACCCAGAAAAAAGGATTTAGTATTCTGCTCATTTTGGATGTTGTTCTTATCCAGACTTTAGTTAATCTGTGAATTGGATCTAGACATTAATTTTGCTAAGTTAGCTAATGCTATGCTGAGACAAAACACAGCACAGGCATAATACTGTGCAGTTCTCCTGTATCAAGCAAATTAAGTTTAATCCAACACGTTACTGAACAGGGTTAGAACAGCTTTCCTGTATTTCTCAGCGCTGCACAACATGTGACCAGTTTTCAAGTATTAAGCTTTCTCTTTGCTCTATAGGGAAGCATGGAAATAAATAGATTTCAGTCCAGCGAAGCAAACCGCTGGCAAAAAAACTCTTCCACAATTCTCTTATTTGCTTTCTTGGATACCTAACCAGATGGAGTGGCAATCAGTGAGAAGGAGCAAGAAAACGAGCAAGTTCTCCAGAGACGCGAGGGGTGCAGGAGAGGTTTTTTTTGATGCGGAACACACATTTTAGGCAGCTTTAGGCTGTCTGAACTCATTTCAGACGAGGCTGCCAGAAACCCAACATTTCCTCCGCTCTGGGCTTCCTTCCAGCGCTCTGACGCGAAGAGAAGAGGCAGTAAATTAATCACTGATGTATCTGAGGCCTCCTAGTTTATTACTCACACTTCCAGAGCCGTCTTTTCAACACGGAGGTGAACGCTGGCTGCATGCACAGAGAGATAGATAAGAGGGACGGTACCACACGCTCTAATTAAACGCATGGATGTAGTTATGCACAAGTCAAGTGTTAAGTGCTCTATAGCACCATAATTCTTTCTTCTCAGGGGACATTATTTAAGCATCTCTTTGACTCTGTTCATTTAGATGGAGGCTTGTAATAAAACAGCAGGCTTGTCATACTGTGATGTATAGTCGTGCAGATCAGCACCAAACTTTTGTACATTAAAATTATTTACGTATGTACTAATGCAGATTACAGTGTTGACACATTTGAATGTTACATCATTGAACACAGGATCACTTTGTCTCGTTTATTCTGCCTGGATGCAAAACGCTTCGTGTTTGTGACTGACTCATTTGAGGTTGTTGAGTTTGCTTCATGCTGCTGCTTCTGAAAGCAAGATAAAAAAAAATCAGCTGATTTTATCTACTGATTATTTGACTGTCTGAATATTTATATAGCAGCCTTTTTTGTTATTTCTTCTGTTTGGATCTAGTATATCTCGGTGATCAGTGGAAGCTATGTAGCCTGTCCAGATCACTTCACTCAGCTGAGGCACGCTTACTGCCAACTCCTAGGATCACTAACAGCTCAGTTGGTGCACATTCATTTTCTTATATAGTGCCTAAACTCTGGAATTGCATTCCAGAGAATATTAGGAATGTAAGCTTGAAACATTTCTTTAGACTAGCATATGCCTAGAGTATTCCCTAGAGACTCATTTTCACCTGTGGTCTGTTAATGCAGTGTTATTTTATATTCCTGTGTAAAACATCTCAAGATTAAAATGAACCGTGCTCATCTAAATAAGGATGTATTATTATATTCTTGTCCATCTATTTGGCACTGATCTGCAGAGCATGGATGCTGAAAAAACTACTAGACAACAGATGGCAGGTTTTTAACCATGCTAACCCTTGTCTGTTGTGTATCTCTCAAACAGATCTCGACTCCTACAAGAAAAGGTACAAGCGCAAAGAGATCGAGGAGATGCAGTGTGAAGTGCAGAAGACGCACACTTTCTCCAAGATCCTCACCAGCAAGAGAAGCCTGGACCACGTCAACAAAATACTGAAGGTCAAGCGGCTCCAGAGGCAGGCTAAGACGGGCAACAACGTGGTGAAGCGGCGAAGGGGGAGGCCCCGGAAGCAGCCACTGCCCACGGATGAGATCTTGGCTCAGATGCCCGTGCTGGAGAAATGTGTGGACATTCCCAGTAAGAGGAGCCTCCACGGTGGCCTGGTGCCCGCCCAGCTGGAATTCTCCAACCACGACTCCATCGCGGACGCCATCGAGGCAGTGGTCCACCAGGCCCGGGCGCAGCCCAAACCGCAGGCTGCGCAGGGGTCCAAGCACTGGCTCAAAGCTCAGCCGGAGGACCAGCCAGAACGGCTGGCACGGAGGGGCAGAGGGAGCAGAAGAGAGGAGGCGGATCATTAGAGAGTTTCAGAACAGTGCACTGTGAGTTCGACTTGCACTCCCCACCTTTGGATAATTTCTAGGCGACAGCTGAAATACTCTTCATGGGCATTCTCTGAGGATTCTGATAATGAATGTGGTCTAAAGTGCCCCACTTTTTGTTTTGTATATGCCATCACCGAAATCTTTTATTATTATAATTATTATTTGTTTTGTTTTTCTCTCTCTCATGGAGACATTGTTGAGCTTGTATTCTCCCAAAGCCCATAACTCAAAGGATTTTGAAATCTATGGCTACAGCCATGATCTTACCAGCAAGTGTAAATGAACTTTTAATACAGTACTGTGCACTTTTGGGGTTTCTTTGCCTTTTTTGGTTCTCTCAAGTCAAAGCACAGTACTTAAAGACCAATGCTGACGAAATTGGTCATCAATAACTCCTAGACAATACATATACACAAACACGCTTGCCTGCGCTCAGGTTTGTTCCGGGCATGAACTAACGGCAATACCCTTGAATGAGACCCTTCTTAAAACTGTCTTTGATGGCTATAGTTTGATTGTACATAGGAACGTATTCTACAAACATTTCAAAGTGAAAGTATTTTAGATTTACTTGTACTGTCATCATATCAAATAGAAAACTGTACAATATTCAAATAATGTTTTTAACCAAATACTAGAAATAGATGGATGTGACATACAAGCTTGTGTTCAAATGGAGAAAAAAAAAACATACAGTATTTATTAATCAAATCATAACGAAGTGGATGCATCACAGATTGAAGGACTGTATTAGACAGCAGACAGAGTGTAAAGTCAAATCTTTGGAAATCTTAGCTTAGGACGTTCATCATGTCGTACATGGAAAATTCTATTCTTGCATTTAAAACCAACACAGCACTTAATCCAGTCTCCTTGTCCTTGAAGATGGGTCTAAGTACTACACAACGTCACAGTGATTATTTTTTTGGTTGAATAACCAACGATATCTGGAAAATATTTTAGTAATATCAGTTGAGTGATTTCTCAGTCAGTTACTTGGAGAAAAAAAAAACAAACAAAAAAAAATGCTGAGTAACTGAGTTGCCTTTCCCAGAGTCTATTTGATAATGTGCCTGCTCTTACTAATAAAGTAATAATAATATGTTGATATACCTGTCAGTATTAGATGTTTATACAACCAAAGTTTCAGTCGTTGTATTTCATATTATAGGTGGGTTGGTTTTTGGTTTAGGTGCTTGTAAATGGCATATAAAGGATGGAATGTGTGGATCTGAGAAGTAGAATTCACTACTGCATACAGTACAGAAAGCTGCATAGGAAAGTACTAGCAAGAAATCAGGCTTCAATGTAGTACAGTTGTTCTAAGCTCTTTTAGAAATGTAAATTCAGCTGGTCATAATGCAGAAAGCTCTCTCCATTTGTGGTTTATTTCTCAGTTGTTTCATATATGTGCCTTATGTTGTCAATAAGTCCATAACATTTCAGGTACCGGAAACTATGAATGGCAAGAAATCGTGCTTAACATATAGCAGATATACATATATTCTACGTATACATACATGGTCATGAATGTACATATGCCTGCTGTCTCTCCTGGTCATTAGAGCTGTCATTGTTTAGGTGCACTCGCGCAACAAAACAGAATGTGCAGATCCGATTGGTCGTCTTAAAAACGATCTGCTCCCATATTAATTTGAATCAGACTCTCACGTTTTCTGTGCGGTTTTGGCGGATCTGTGTGAAAAGTGAAAATCTAGCAAACAAGACCAAACTGTGCTTGCGACAATTCAAATAAGACCACCACACTATAGCACCGTATAAGGGTTGTTATGACATGTACGTTCTTTTTTACTATGCATCAGGGTTATACCTGCAAATTGACAGACATGTAATGACTTTTTAAGAGGAACTACTTTTATAAGCTTTCTCTTTTGGTTCAGTCCATTTGACAAAGAGGTCTTATTGAACATTTCAAATGAAATGATCAAATGTAAAAGTCTGTAATCTGGGTTTTAGTTTCTGCCTACAAGTGACTATCATTTCTTTGCAATTCTTATCACTGCTTAGGGCAGAAAAATCAGCCGCTAAGCAGTCGAGCCTTAATCATTATGTTAAATCCAACAAATTAACCCCTGTAAATAGTAGAATGGCCTGTCCGTTATTAAACAGCTGACCATGTGGACTGACTGTGCTCACTCTACTTAGAATTGCCTAAGAATAAATACAGAATATGGAACATAACGCAGCCCACAGCCGAAGACTATGTGACTTAAATCATCATTTTGTGAGAGTAGAATGTTAAATCTGACGATGACTTTGCGTTAGAGCCAAGAGAAATAGTCCTTATTGGCTGGCAGCTATCTCAGTCTGTGGCACTAAATTGGACATTTCAGCATGTCTCCATTTAGGACTGGCACTGCAAACCACCTGGAGACACTGCCAAAAATAAAGACATCAATTATTCAGTGGCTACAACCACTAAGAATGGACAGAAATCTTGCAGTTGAAACCAAATTGTATACAGTAGCAGTATTCCTAAATGGTACCATAGATCTTCAGTTTATCACAGGAGGTGTTAATAGCAAGGTGTTTGGCAGCTCATATTTTTTGGCTTCTGATGTTTTAAAAAAACACCAGATATCCAGATATATTTTTCTCTACCAGCTGATAAAATGGTGCCTTGTGAAGTTACGGTGTAGTTTGTTCTTATTTTTTCTTAGATTCTGGCTCTTAAACAATGATAGTAACTCATTACATGCTGTTTTGTGTCATGTAAATATGGTCCAACTTGATACAAAGGGTTCATTCGACTGGTCACTTCACGACAAAGATCACTTAAGATAATGTCAGTTCCGTTCAAAGATTGTCAACAGTATCATATCTGTATTAAGCTATTGAAGAAATTCCAGTGCAGGTGAAGAATCAATTGAAGGGTAACGTACTGAATAAGGGCACAAGTCAAATTCAGCATATTTTGGTTTTTATAGGTACTACGACCATTTTTGATAATACTTTTACGTTTCCTGAACCCGCTTGCCCTAACCGATTGATTGTATGCACACAAATTTTGAAGAAGTCAAATACTGAATTTCAATTTGGAGAAGATCTTATACATTGTTTGATAAGTTTTTTTAAGAAATGGTTTTTAATTCATAAAGCATTTTTGTAAATTGTATGAATATTAAAGAAAACAGCAAATAATGGACATATATAGGAAAGAATAAATATTGAGATACGCAAGCATATGCATTGTACATAAAATGTATGTAGATATACACCCTCATGTTTTTGTGTACCTGTGTATACACATTTAAAGATACGTATACTGCACTGTACATATGTACATACATTTAAGCTCGCATGTGTTTGGTCATATTTGCCGTTCATGATCTTGTAGGGATTTTTTTTTATTATTATTTCTCTTTTAAGCTCTTCTTTTTGTGCAACCATCTCAGTGCAGTATTGAGCACTTAAATACACTTGACCTTGTTCATGTCATTCATTGTGCAAAAAAAATTAAAAATGGATTTATCAAATGTTTGAATCTTACCATCTTTCTTATTTGTTTGTTTTAAACTGAGGACCTGGTACTCAGTTAGTGGTGGGCAATATGATGATAGTATCGTGATCAATTACATCACTATAAGCTTTTTTGAGCATATCGTAGAAATCTTCAGCAATTAAAGAACACAGCAACTGCATGTTTCATTTCAAAGAGTGCATAGTTACTCCTGTTTATTGGATTTAGTGTAAATAATAAAAATCAATAAAAATCTGACATTGTACTGAAAGGCAGTATTCATAAGGCTATACAGTACCTACATAAGCCTTTTATAACACTGGCATAAACCTATATGGATCATTCTACTGAAGTGGTTCAAAGTCAGCTGAAAACACATTATGGATTTTGCTTTGAATGACTTCATTATGCTTCTTTTATTAAAATAAATGGCATTCCATTTTGTCACTTTCATAATAATCACACCACCAAATCTTTATGAAATGTTTCAGTATTGATGATTTTGGCTAATTTTGAGCATAACTCAAAAAATAAAAAAGCTAGCCAGTACCTGACTAGCAAACACAGCTCTGAACAGTTATACTTATTAAAACACACTAAAAAAAAGTTTACTTAATTGCAGAAAATGTGTTTCTGTAGTGACAATTCTTTTGCACGCTGAATATCAGACTTAAGTGGGGAAAAACTAAACTGTAGTTCAAAAAAATTATTTTTAAAAGATTCAGAGAAAATGGGATCCCTAACAACCATGCAAGACCTGGTACACCACCAAAACTCTTACCTTCAGATAAAAAATACTTAAAGGACAGAGAATCAGTCTCACTCCCTGCTCTAAAATGCAGGGGTATGGCTAAAATAAGGCCCCGCCTACAGACAAAAAATCTAACAATGTCAGTCTAAAATAAATTAAATAAATAAAAAAAAAACAACACTATTGTGTTGTTCTAAGTATTATTTGTATTAAGTTGAAATTTAGGGTTTAGAGTTTGGCACAGCCACCTTCTAATAGAAAGCACCCTATAAATGATGATTTTGTATATATTTAGCTTACTACTATCTCTATTCATCTCTTGGATTTAAATACATCATAGTATAATCCTTGTAAATATGTAAGGTCTGAATAGGTTTTTTTTTAACCAGTTAAAACTAATTTAGTATATGTAGGTTTATGTCAGTTGTCATGGAAGGCTTATGTAAGTGCATTAGTCTTACAAATGCTACCCTTCAGTATCACCCATAGTTTTTAAAAAATTATATTTTTGCCCAAACACCCACCCTATACTCAATTAACCATTTATCATGGAATAATAATTTTGCATGCAAGTAGGCTTGCAATTGAAAAAGCATGACCTGATCAGTCATTAGTGTCAGTATCTCCTATCCTTTTAAATCAGTTCAATGAGTACATCAGCTGCCTGTAGCTATTAGCAATAGACACACGGGCCGAAGTTGCGAATTTATGCCGAAAATGTGACTACAATGAAACGCACCTACAAATGAAGCATTACTCTGCCATTTCACTAAGCAAGGCTGGCTTCTGTCAGTGCAATTTGTACTGGTGAACAATGTAGTGGAGGGAATCCCCACTCACGGAGGTCTACGCCTCTTGCACTCCCCCTCATTGTATTACTCTAACACTGCATAGGAGAGATAAATGGATTGGACCGCGTCCCAGCCATTGGTTGGTGGAGGCAAAGTGAAAAGTGCTTCACCATAGGCTTGTGCCTCTCTGTAAAATTCCTGTTGCCATGGCAGCTGGGTGAACTGCCCAAATATTCTGGTGCAGCGCTTGGCTCGCATAAAATGTCTCAACTCAATCTGGTGAATGCATGAAATTAAGGCAGCGAGATAGGCAAGCCGGGGCTTCTTAAAATACTGCGGCTGTGTGCTTACAGTCTAGAACAGGGTCAAAGCTGCACATCTTGATTTAGAAAAACATAGTGATGGATAGGTTGATAATGAGGCTATAAGACTGGTAATTGTGGGACTGAATCCAATTGCCATGACTCATCTGTATTGCTGAAATTAAAGAATAAGACATTGGAATTACATTGGTCATGCAGATGCTTCATATTACTAGGATATTATTTGTTTGTTCACAAGCACAGGAGAGATGCAGCTCCATCTGACATTTCTACAGCATTTTAAAGTATTTGCTTTGACAGAAAGCGTTACTCCCTCTCAAACAGACATGCTGTAAACAGCCAGTATCTAGAGATCTAATATCACCATCATGGCAGATATTTACTTACACTGATTCAAAATCTCGCATGTTTTTCCCCCACAGGGCACACGCTTCAAAATACCGCTGAGATATTCACTATCCATCTACGGCATGTTTACTCTCAAATAGTAAAATATTGCTTGCAGCTTCTTATACAGGTTGAAATTATAAAGGGAAAAGCCATTAAATTAATTAGCTAAGACATCAGACCTGGATTGGTTAGACCATGGTTTATACTACCAGTAAAGAGTATGGGCCACTTTCAGGTCATTGTAGGTTCATCTTGCAGGGACATAGATGGATAGAG